ACTCTCTCCTGGCTGCGAACCATCTCTATCTGCCTAGAAATGTCAACAACCTCATCAAAAGTAGTACCAGATACCCTCTCTCTAGTCATAAGCAACCGCAACTGAAACGTGAGACCATCAATGAACCTCCTAATCCTCTCCCTATCAGTGGGAACCAACCAAACTGCATGGCGGGCCAACGTAGAAAACCTAATCTCGTACTGCATCACAAGCATATCATCATGACGTAACTGCTCAAACTGTTTACACAGCCCATCTCTACAAGACTATGACACAAACTTCTCCAAGAAGAGAACGGAGAACTCCTGCCATGTAAGTGGTGCTGCACCGACTAGCCTACGCCTCTCATAAGCCTCCCACCAACTGAAGGTAGCCCCAGAGAACTAAAAAGTAGTGAACGAGACCCCACTAGTCTCCAGAATACCTACTGTACGGAGAATTCTCTAACACTTGTCCAAGAAACCCTGGGCATCCTCTCACTCTATACCACTGAAAGATGGAGGTTAGAGTCTCCCAAACCTCTCCAATCTTTGCTGCTCATCATCGGACAAAATAGGAACCAAAATGGGCCTAAGCAGCTGTAACCGACTAGGCTGGTAGTGCCCTCGAGGTCTAGAGTCCCTGCATCACCTGCTTTGGTGTGCGGGCGGCAGGAGTCTGAGTACCTCCCCCGACATGAGAAGTAGTTGTTGCGATCGGAACAAAGACCACCTGAGCAAGGCTGGTGCATACTATCAGAATCTGAGCCAAGGCCTCCTAAAAGCCTGGAATCACAATGGGCACAGGTAGTGCCTGAGCTAGCCCCACAGGCTCCTTCATAACTAGGACCCGCTCCTGAACTGGGGCAACTGGTGGATCTGCATGTGCTACCATAGTTGTTGTAAGAGTTGCACCTCTGCCCCTACTGCGCCTCTACTACGACCTCGACCTCTCGCCACCTTAACTGGTGGTACTAGTGGTTGTCCATCCTGTCCAGTAGTATGTGTCCTCACAATCTGTGAGAGAATAGAATAACAGAAGTTTAGTTACCAGAACCAATATATTTGCACGACAAGAATTCAAGAATGTGAAGTTTCCTAACGGTTCGGTAACCTCTCGAAGATAAGTACAGACGTCTCCGTACTGATCTGCAAGACTCCACTAAATCTGCTCATGACTCATGAGACCTATATAACCTAGGCTCTAATACCAACTTGTCATGACCCAAATCCTAACATGCCATGATGGTGCCTATCGATGGTACTAGGCAAACCGAAATTTCTAAAATACTTCCAATATTTAACAGAAAATGAATCGAGAAATTTTAAATAGAAAAGTTTTCATAAACAAGGGTAAAGCCCAAAACACAAGTGCAGAGATAGCTCCCAATATCGGGGTGTCACTGAGCCTATGAGCATCTATATGAAATCAGTATAGAAAAATGAAACGCCTATAACAGTTTGGATCCAAATACAACGAAAGAAAAGGTAAGGAAGGAGAAAACAAGGATTGCAGATGCCAGACAGCTACCTTGATATCTCCAACGGTTAGCTACTTGAAATATCAACAACCTCCGCGTCCAGAAACTTGTGGATCTGCAAACGAAGTGTAGGGTGTAGCGTGAGTACAACAAACTCAGTAAGTAACAATAGTAAATAAGGAACTGAAAGATAGTGACGAGCTACACAATTGTGGTTTAATTTCGGTAATCTCAATAAGAAAAAAACATAGACATGCTTTCAAATGCGGCAAAATTTAGTCAAATCAGTTTATACATGCCAAGCTCAAGTAAAACCAGATAAAATATACTTTCATAGGTCTTCAAAATAGTTATATATGGCAACTATGTGCAACAATAATGAAATCATACACAACCTCTCAAGGTAACAATCACTCAGTCCTCTCATTCACCCCAACCTCACAATCACTCATTCCTCACAACCACTCATTACTCACGGTCACTCAACACTCGACACTTGACACTCAGTACTCGCACTCAGTAGGTACCTATGCTCACTGGTGTGTGTACAGACTCCGGAGGGGCTCTTTCAGCCCAAGCACTATATCAAGCCAATCATGGCATAAATCAATGAATCAGGTTGCGGCGTCCAGCCCGATCCCATAAATATCCTCACAATCAAGCCCTCGGCCTCACTCAGTCATCAATATCTCAAGTCTCCGGGCTCTAAAAAATTAGAAAATCAGCCCAAACAACAATAACGTAATGTATCAATAAGAATAATGGAGACCGAGATATGATATGCGAGTAAAAATTGAGATTGAGTACAAATAGCATTTAGCAGGTAATTCAATAGGTAACACAACCTCTGTGGGTCCCAATAGTACCAACATATAGCCTAAACATAATTACGGTCAAATTTCAATGACACATAGAGAGCATATAGCTAACAACAAGTTATTCAACTTTACAGTTTCACGGAACAGGCCAAATCAAAATTCCCATGTTGCACGCCCACACGCCCTCACCTAGCATGTGCGTCACCTCCAAAATAATCACATGACACAAAATACGGGGTTTCTTACCCTCAGGACAAGATTTAGAACTGTTACTTACCTTAATCCGAGCAAATCTCTACTCCAACATACCTTTGCCTCGCAAATCGGCCTCTGAATGCCTCGAATCTAGCCGCAAACAATTCGATACAATCAACACGAGCTAAAGGAATCAATTCCATAAGAAAATACTAAACTTTAAGTCAAAAATCAAAAGTCAACTCAAAAGTTGGGCCCCGGGTCCACATTTTGAAATCGGGTAAAAGTCTCAAATTCGAATACCCATTCGACCACAAGTTCAACCATACCAAAATTAGTGAAATCCGATCACAACTCGACCTTTAAATTCCAAAATTATAGTTTATGAAGTTTCTACAATTTTTCCCAAATTTTCATCTCAAAATACTAATTAAATGATGAACCAATGATACATTCATGTATATTAACCAAATCAGAGTTAGAATCACTTATCCCGATGAGTTTCTTGAAAAACCCACGAAATATTGCCACAAACCGAGCTTCCAAAGTCCCAATGTGAAATAATACCCTAACCCTCATTTATATAGTGCACGGTATGGCCTCCAAAGTGCTGACCGCACATTTTTTGGTGCAATCGCACATCCCAAGTCCTACGGCCGCGATCCAATTGGAGCTGACGCACTTCAACAAAATTTGCACTACCAGACTATAGTAAATCGGCCATAACATTCTGTAAAATGTCCAAATGATGATTGCTTTACCTTTATAGAAACTAGACACAAAGGGCTACAACTTTCATTTTTAGATTATCCCCAAATTTCTTATAGATTAAAAGATATAAGCTTCCGAAGTCAGACCACCGAACCTGCAGAGTCTCCTATTTGGAGCCGCGAGAAGAATTGTGCGGTCAGCACTTTTCCTCTCAGCTCCGCACTTGAGGCTTTTCCTCAGCACTCCAAAATGTGCCCCCGTGCTTCCATAGGTACTAGAACAGATCGCTCAAAACTTACCCTGAAACATACTCGAGCCACTCAGGACCTCAACCAAACATACCATCAAGTCTCAAAACATCATACGAACTTAGTTGAACCCTCAAATCACCTCAAACAACATCAAAAACACGAATTGCACTCGGATTCAAGCCTAATGAACCTTGAAATTTCTAAATTCTACAAACGATGTCGAAACCTATCAAATCATGTCCGATTAACCTTAAATTTTGCACACAAGTCATAAATGACACCACAAAACTACTTCAACTTTCAAAAATCCAATCTGACCCCGATATTAAAAAGTCCACTCCCGGTCAAACTTTTCAAAATTCCTACTTTCGCCATTTCAAACCTAATTCTACTGTGGACCGCTAAATCACAATCCAGACACACTCCTAAGTCCAAAATCACCTAACGGGGATAACGGAACCATCAAAATTCAAATTCGAAGTCGTTTACACATAAGTCAATATTTGGTAAAATTTTCCAACTTAAGCTTTCAATTAAGAGACTAAGTAACTCAATTCACTCTGAAATCTCTGCGGATCCAAACCAACCAACCTGGTAAGTCATATAACTGCTGTAGAGTATAAAAGGAGCAGAAAAATAGGGTAACATGGCTACAACTCTCGAAACGACCGGTTGGATCGTTACATTAAAGTCATTAACTTTTATTTGAGGGAATTTTAGTCTTTTTAAGTATCTCGTTATATACGTGTCGCCGGAAGTTTCCCCAAACCTTACGTGTAAATTTAATTTCTTTACAATTGTCTGACAACTTACCTTTTTCCTTTATTTTTTTGGTACTTTTAATTCAAAGAGTATACCTTCTATTTCTACGTTCTTCTTCTTGCTCTCAAGATCTGTTTGTGTTCTTGCTGCAATTAATTTTGCACATATCTTCTTATTTTTCCTTAATTCTTTTCTTCTTGAGTTCTCTCCGTCTTTTTCAGTTTTGCTATTCACTGGCTGTGGAATCCCTTCATCTTCAACCTCAAACTTCATCTTTTGTGTCTCGCTTTATCTCTCTTTTTTCTCTTTTACCAGATACTTAATAGTTTCCCAATGTTGATCTTCTATTTTTTAGAGCATATATGCTTCTCTATCTCAACCCGATACTGACACTGATTTGGTTGATAAGCCTTGTAGACATGTGATTTTTGACCCTCCCCAGGATTTTTCATATTTTAGCATAAAATATTTAATTTAGGCCTAATATTGCTATTTCAATTAACTTTGACTCTTTTACTTTATTTTATTACAAGAAAAATGAAATTACAAAAAAATAGTTTCATTAGTGGTTTGTAGTTATTTTTAATCTTGAAAATACCAAAAATAGTTTATTTTAACAGTCAATCTTATTTTAACAGTTATTTCGCTTAAGTAGGGCTAATTAATATTTTTAATAATACTTCTATATGGATAGATTTTTAGTTAATTAGGCTAGTTTTAAGCAAAACTAGTTGTAAAGACCCAAGTTTCAAGCTCATAATTTCTAGGCTCGTACCCCTAACCTAATCCCTACCCCTATATAATAGTATCTAATGCTAAAATAAACCTACGCCTAAATCCCCATCTGACCACAAATGAGCATCAGCGAAAATAATACAAAGAAAAGGCTAAGGAGGCAGCGCCGTCTACTCTGGAAAAAGCTAAAAAAAACGGCTGAACCTTTGATTCTCGAACCTAACGCCTCTGACCCATTTTCCATATTTGGTGCCTTTTCTTTTCTTCTTCTTTGAATACACAACATACACATAGATACAGTAGAGGTTGAAAAACAGAGAAAACAAATAAAATTCCATGTAAATCAAAACCAAAAAAACACATATAGAGATCTTGTTTTTTCTTCTCGATTTTGGACTTTGGCTCTTAAAGAATGGATTTCAGTCTGAGTTAGGGTGTTGTTCGAGCTTTGCTCTTGATTCGTGGATCCTGACTGCGAATTCAGTTGCGGATCGCTGACTCGCTGTTCCGATTTTTGTTCGTGTTGCCGGATCTGCTTGTAGCTTTTGGATCTTTCACTAATTTAATGAAGCTCATCTGAGGTTTATTCTTCACCATCCTTCCACTATTTTTGTCTTTTGTGTGGTACAATAGTAAAATGTGCTATTAAATCCATGAAGCTATTTTTAGTTGTTGGGATTAATGTTAAGTTTATTCTTTGGCTCCTTTATTTCTCTTCCGCTTTTCTTATACTCTAATTATGTTGAGCTATGTTATCCGAATTGTCATCTAGTGTTTAATTTTCTTTTTAAAATGCTTTTCATGAGTAGTTTAAATTCTTATAATTTTAAGTAAGAGACTTTGTTGTTAAAGTTTTTTTTTTTAAGTTTAGATTTTCTTTAATAAGCACCCCCTTCATCTTTTTCTTAAAAGTGTCCAGAACATATGAAAGGTTTTTGTTCTCTTATGTGAAAGAATTTTTCAATTAATAAAGCTTCTAAAGTCTAAGAATACAAGGTCCGTTGCATCAAAGCAAATGCATACTTCCCCATCTGTCTCGAGCTTTATGTACTACTACTAGTATTTTATCATTTACTTTTTGCGGGTCTGTAGAGTCATAATGGTCTCCTATTGTTAGAAAGTGGATTGAAATAAAAATCAAAACTTCAATGTTTGTTACTTTATTAACTTGAAGTGCGTAGTTGCTTTAGGCGCACTATTTAAAAATTAATTTCCTTAAACTCGGGTGTGCATTTTATGTGACCCAAATCCAAATCTCAACAACGTTAGATAAAATATGTCGAGGATCGCGGGTGCATGTAAGTGACGTGGTTCAAGACGTGTTTTAATAACGTTGAAATCTTCCTTAAAAAATAATTCAATAAAAGCGGCTCAAAAGTTTAAATTGAACCATAGGCTAAAACCTGTACTAAATCAGATAATAGTCCAATTCTAACAGTTGAGCGACCGTGCTAGAACCACGAAACTCGGGAATGCCTAACACCTTCTCCCGGGTTAACAGAATTCCTTACCCGGATTTCTGTGTTCGCGGACTGTAATACATGGTCAATCTTTTCCTTGATCGGGCTTTGAACCGGTGACTTGGGACACCATAAAATTATCCCAAGTTGCGACTCTGATTTTTTTAAATAAAATGATCTCGTTTCGATTGTCACTAAGTTGGAAAAAAACTCCTTTATACCCCTTCCCGGAGGTGTAGTGAAAAGGAGGTGTGACAGCTGTGGCGACTCTTCTAGGGACCAAAACCCAGAACTTTGGTTCAGGGTTTAAGAATTCGAGTTTAGAATAGCTGTTATGATTGACTTTATTTATTATCTGATTTTTGTACATGTTTGGGGTAGGTTTTATATTTTATGAAAATAAACCGAAAAAATACCGAACCGTATCGAATAAATTTACAATGTGAATAATATATTTATATATTAAGTTTAAAATTAATAAAGCATTAAATTTTTCTTGGGCCTTTGAATTATGAAACAGTTACAAGCCAACACGTAATTAAACTTAAAATCCTCCAAACCTATTTTGATACTCCTATTGAAACTAAATTATTTCTAGCATGTTTATTAGCAAGACACAAGATATTGTATTGAGTATGAGTAGCAATCTATAATGTATCAAACATGTTTCCTTTCGTATGATTTTCATCTATCTTCTTGAATATTTAATCTTCTATAAACTTTATTCTTGAATCCCAACTTAGCTAATATTTTTTCACTTGTGTGATTTATATTATTTTTGTATTTGCGTAGTTTCTTTTATGATGATGTAGAATAGTTGATTGATCTATACTCTAGTCAGCTTTCATATTTTCTTAATTCATCACCTTTTAAACTGTAAAAATATCTAGAGAGTTTTGTTAAGTCCTAAAAAAGTATGTATGTTATTGCATTCTACTTCCACTAGTGACTTTTACATGACATTAAAAAAATTACCCAAAATTTACCGAACCGTATCGATACTGAAGAGAAACCGACATGATTAGGACGGTTTCGAAAAGTCCAATTTTGATTATACATAATAGAATAACCGAAAAAATAATATGGTATAAATTTTATAAAATAACCAGGCCGAACCAATCCATTGATACCCCTGTTAACAGCCATGCACACTCAGGTCTACAAGCGGGAGAACGACATAATATTTTGGCCAATGTCCGAATAAAACTTGGACCTGATTTTTGAGCAGCATTCCTACTTCCCACGGTTTTGTTGGGTTTCACAAAACAAATATATCATTAAAGATTCTGGCCAAGTCAAGACATGAAAGATTTTGGAGAGGCGATTACTAATGGTGCTATGCAATCTCACTTGGGCCCGAGGTGTATCGGTCGAAATCTGACCAAACAAGAATCTTTGTAAAGAGGGACGGCTAGTCACTTAGGCAGAGTCGTATTCTTACAACGCTATAGCAACAAGTACATCAGCCGTACTCAGAAGGCTTGTACGATGAATTGGATAACACGACATTTCGGAGGGTCAGTCTGTAATTCAGTTAAATAACTTTGACACTCTGGCTAATGACCATTGTATAAATGAGAATACTCAGTATATATACTAGGTAAGAGAACAAAGAAAAAGAGAGGGGGAAGAGAAAAACTCATAGACACATATAGACTTTTCCAGAAAGGAAAAAGGATCTTCAACTCTTTCTCCTCGAGAAGGGGGAAGGGGAAAGGAAGTGCAGATCCTCAGTATGCATCATTAATTTCATTTTGTCAAATGTATGGGGGTCAACCTTGTTCAAGAACGATGACCCTTTTTATCTATGTGTTCTTCATTATCATTTAGTGTTAAGAAAATCACCACCCTTTTCTCACATTATAGGATTCAATTATTGCTATGGTTAAATTTCATGTTCAGCTATGCTTGTTCATTCATATCTTCTGCTCCAAATCTAGGATAAATTATCTTTGGCTAGGATTTATCTCAAATCTTCCTATTTAATTAGTTCACGAAAAGATTTAGCACTTTTTGGTCGAATAATTTGGCGCTGTCTGTGGGGATTTTCTAGCCAAAATTTTAGTTTCATCTAGATCTAAAGTCAGCCAGGGTCCCAATTCCCGGTTGTCGTAGCCTTGCCCTCTCATTACAAACACCAACTTGAGAAGTTTGTAGGCAAACTTTCGAAATAACCGAACCAACTAAGTTCAGATCTTTGCATGAAATCAAAATTATATTTGATATCTATACAAAATCCACGTCTTTCTGTAGCGATAGGTTTGGTACATCGCAAGTATGAGTTGTCAGAGTGGGATTATGGCCACTACACACTGAGCACGTCCTCAATCCTATCTGTTATATCAACGTTTAGATACCAATCTATACTTCATGCACACTGCCCCCCCTCCCTCAGGAAGGGGCGACAACTTATTGTATGATTTTTTCAAATAACAAGCTTGTCATGCCCGTGTGTACGGAGTATAACTTATGTTTCCCTTACTTTTGTGCACCTGGGACGGGACAGGACCGGGACTCGAACTCGAGATCCCAACGGGAAAAGATAGTTGTCAGCCCATAAGAAGTCCTTATTCAACTAACGGTGAAGCTAAACACGAGGCTAAGATCAAATCTGAAGTTGTCATCCGAGTACGAGACAAAACGAGTCGTTCTACAATGCCCCTCTCCCCTCACCAACCAAGCAGATCAAGGTAACAGACGATTTCGTTTGGGTTTGACTTGTCATTTTTCTTTTTTAGAATGGGATAGGAACATGAGCATTCTCCCGTGTGCGCAAACAAGGAACAAATGCCACCAAAACAATACACCAGGAAAACGTTCCGCACCATATCATCCCGCAGGCAACGGTCGAGCAAAAACCTCCACATCGTACCATACTACGAATAACAAACAAACGGCTCAAAACCAGCCGGCATCATTAAGAAACAATCTCCATAGCTTGGGATTGGGCGGTGAGCCCATGGAACGTACAATCCACCCAATACAGGCAAGACATAAACACGAAAAGCTTGCCCATGTGTTCTCCATGGCGATGTTACGCCAATTCAGCCAACTAAATACTACGAGCCACGTCCGAATTCGTTCAAATTAATCAAGCCCCAAGGTACCCAGAAGACCAAGCAATAAGTTCATCACCCGTCCCATTAACGGTCTCTCCAGGCCGAGCAATGAAGGGACTAGATAGACTTGGACTGACCCTGACGCATACATAAACTATGCAGTGACGCATGATATTCTCCAATAAAAGCAAGATTAGATAAACTGGGACGCACCTGACGCATGCATAAATGATGCAGCAACGAGTAATATTCTCTAATAAAAACAAGGCACCATGCAACATTCTTACCACTCCACCGAGCCCGCACATCGCCAAGAGAGAGTAAAATTTGACCTCGCTCGAATCAACAAGCCAAAGTTCGACCTCGCTCGAATTTACACCCTCAGGGCCCCTGGCCATCGCCAAGCGAAAGTAAAATTCGACCTTGTTCGAATCAACAAGCCAAAGTTCGACCTCGGTCGAACTCATAACAGGTTACAGTTCGACCTCGCTCGAATTTAAACCCTCACGGCCCCCGGCCATCGCCAAGCGAAAGTAAAATTCGACCTCGTTCAAATCAACAAGCCAAAGTTCGACTTCGCTCGAACTCATAACGGGTTACAACTTGACCTCACTTGAATTTACACCCTCACGCCCCCGGCCATCGCCAAGCAAAAGTAAAATTTGACCTGTTCAAATCAGCAAGCCAAAGTTCGACCCTGATCGAACTCATAACGGGTTACAACTCGACCTCGCTCGAATGTATACCCTCACGGCCGCCGGACATCGCCAAAAAATGTCGACTTTCATTCAAGCTATAAGGTTCAACATCGCTCGAACTAACAAAGTAAGGTTCGACCCCGTTCGAACTAACGAGATGAGATCCGACCTCGCTCGAATCAGCAAGCTAAATTCAACCTCATTCAAATTCCCAACTAAACATCAGGGACTCATCACGAAAACATCTGAAGATCTTTTTCAAAAAAAATGAATAAGAAAGAAAGTCTGTGATATGTAACCAAAGTCGAACCAACTATTTTATTCAGAAGATATACATGCACGACAACGTCTTACAAAAGGCGAAATGTGGGCCTTTATAAAAATAAAAACAAGCAACAACAGAAGAAACACAAAAAACCTACGTACAAAAAGCTACGAAAACTTCACTTAGCCTCATCTCTACCACCATCCTCGTCAGCATTGTCATTATCAGAAGACAGCCCATATTCAATCTCAGCACCCTCACTGGCCTCCGGTGTCATAGGGTCATAACCGTAGTCAAGATGAGCCTCGCGTGTCTTAACCCGAGCATCTTCAAAAGCGGCCTTAGGAACGCTCCCCGCCATCCACAAACCCTTATATATATATATATATATATAAATATCTTTTTGGGCCTTAGCGTGGACCCATAGCTCGTACAAATGGCGGGGGATAGCAACAAAGGCAGATTCTGGAGGGGTCTTGAGCCAACAAATGCGCCTTCTCTGCCTCAAGAGCCACAACTTGATCTCCCAAGTTCAAGGCATCCGCTCAAGCTCATCGATCCGCTCCTCGGGCCTTGCCTCCCTCAGTGTGGTCGTCGCCCTCTCAACTTCCCGCTCAGACCTGAGGACGCGGATAGTGTCTTCCAGTGCTGCTGCCCTCGTCAAAGCCGCCACTCGGTCTCCCTCGGCCCTCTTCAACTTAGCCACCTTCTTTTCTAGCTCAGTCAGCTTCTCCATCCACTCTGCACTTAGACTGGCAACTCTAGTGGCATTCTACTCAAGCTCAGCTCGCAAAGATAACACCTTCGCCAGAAGATCCTCACATTCTGCCGCAACCCCTTTTTCTACCTCGAGCTCCTCATCTTTGGCCCTAATAAGTCCCTCGAGCTCGCTACATCTGCGGATAGACTACACCAGATCCTCGTCCTTTATCTCCAACTCCTCCTCAAGGGACTGAGTATTATTGCCCGCCCTAAGCTGCGTGTGTAACTCACGGCACCTGTTGTGATACCGGTGATACTTCGTTGCCATTTCCAGAAAGACATGGGCCCGTATCTCGGCCCAACGAGCACTCACGATCTCCAGCATGTAAGTTTGAGGAGGAAAAAAGAAAGAATCAGTGAAAGCAAATAGCACAAAACAAAGAAAATAACAAAAGGAAACTCAGCCTCAAGGCCATTCCGGCCACACCGCATGACAAATTGAAATCACTAATCTCCCGATGAGATCTATTTTCGGTGGCGGAGCACAAAAGGTAAAACTAAAGCACCAGCCACTGTGTCCTCAAACAAGTTAACATCTAACAGAATTTCGAGCACACGGGAAGGGCCTTCCGCCCTCACATCAACCCTGGTAAAACCTTCCTCGAACATCCCCATGTCCTCAGGATCGATATCAAAATCAGATTGATAATCATCTACCACTATACCCTTCAACCTCTTATCAGTTGAAGAGGGGGTGCGGGCCTGCCGAGACATCGATGGACCGCTCGGAACAATTGTGGTGGCCTCTGAACTCTATCCTCCTTCCTTGGCAACCTCCTCCATGCCCCAAATGGGTATCGCCTCCACATCCAAGCCAGCATCACTGCCGGCTTTAGACACTACCAAAATAGGGTCGCCCCTCGAGGGCATTTCAATCAAAGATGCCCCCTTCGACATTTGCCTCCCGCCTCTTTGACGGTACCTCTTCGCCATCACCATGAGAAGGTTCGTCCGTCGAATGGACTGTGGGAACCGGAGTGTTCGACCAAAGAGCAGCCTCCGAACAAATAGGTTCAGATGTGGAAACGGCTCGCGGAATAGCCAGACTTTGGACGCCTTCATCCACAGCTACCCTTGGCACGGACCGGGTAGAAGAAGCCGGCTAACAGAAAGTAAGGATGGGAGTCCTGGCCTTTCTCGCTCCTCTCTGACCTGCCAATGAGAGAAATTCGACCAAACGAAGATATAAGGTAAAGAAAAATATGGAGCAAAGATCAAAGAACCTCAGGCCGAAACAAGCCGACTCACCAGTGGAAGGTTTGTGCCCAAAGCTCTCGTGGAAAGGCTCCCATTCGCGAATCCCCATTGAATAGGGCAGAATTGAGCTCACCCACTAGCGAATATTAGCAACTTGAGGAGGAGGTACTCTCTCGGCTGCAAAAAAAACAACATCCGACGAGATTACTAAAGGGAGACGACCAACAGCCATTTTCAAAAAAATATACAATAAAAGGAAAGGAAGACCTACTGGCGAAATTGCATGCCTCAGGAAACCATGCGGGGTTCGATACCACGTGCTCTATTCGGACATAGAAGATGTTTTCCCAAAAGCGGCGATTGGCCTTGTCATCCATCTTCACCACCAAACCTTTGGTTTCTCGGTAAAGAAGGTGAATCATCGTGCCCCTATAAAAATGGGGGGCGAAAAGGTGAAGCATATTTTGTAGAGAAATTCCCCAAAAGGTCAGCTCCGCATACTTGATAAGCATAAGGAATATTTTGTATACGTACGGAGAGAGTTGAGTCGGACACACCTCGTAGAAGTGGCAGAAGTCCACCACCAAAGAAGGAAGGGAAAGCATGTATCCGATGACAAATGGATATGCGTAAAACGCGCAATAGCCTGGGCAGTATATATGCACTATGTCACGACCTGCCGAAACCAGTTTAATATGATCAGGGATCCTCCATTTGGTTTTGAACGCCGTAAGTGCCGCAACATACATCATAGAAATGACAGGTTCAAACTCATCCTCGGCAGGGCTCTTGAAGTCATTCCTTGCCTTCCCTGTGCAAGGAACCACCTCATCCACGGTTGGAAACTTCTTATCTTCCATCGTAACTACCCCTCTTCAT